AACGGATTACCACAGTGATGTGGTGCAATCCTGTACTATAACAGGTAACCACAGTGATGTGATGGCTATCCTCTAACATAACATGATTTGATGGATATCATCTAAATCAGTGTTTCTCAACCCAGTCCTCGGAACCCCTGACAGTTCACAACGTTGCTCCCTCCCAGTTCCCAGCACACCTGTACCAGGTATTTAGTGTTATTTAGTTGGCTTGGCTCAGGTGTGCTGGGAGCTGGAGGGGAGCAATAATGTGGGCTGTCTGAGGTCCCTGAGGACTGGGTTAAGAAACTCTGCTCTAACATAACAGGTAACGTGATGGCTACCCCCCATCGTGGAGGTAACTGCAGCTCACTTACCGCTGCCATCCCCTGCCTGCTTTTCCCGTTTTCTCTTCTTTTTTTTGCCCTGTTGTTTATCAGTCAAATAAAGATAAATGGCAAACTTGTAGTTATTGTACGGCAGGCTGCGGCGATACCATGACAAAATATTCCTCCTCTCTGATTAGTTAGCATCTGCGTGGAAACGTGGCATGACACCCAGCCTCTGTTAACTGCCCAGCCTCTGCTAACCGCCCCGCCTCTGCTAACCACCCGGCCTCTGCTAACCGTTCCGCCTCTGCTAACCACCCAGCCACTGCTAACCACCCGGCCACTGCTAACCACCCGGCCACTGCTAACCACCCGGCCCCTGCTAACCACCCGGCCTCTGCTAACCGTTCCGCCTCTGCTAACCACCCGGCCTCTGCTAACCACTCGGCCTCTGCTAACCACCCGGCCTCTGCTAACCGTCCCGCCTCTGCTAACCACCCGACCTCTGCTAACCGTCCCGCCTCTGCTAAACACCCCAGCGGCTGCGCAGGCCTTGGGTACAGACCCTGCCTTGCAGGGAGCCCTGCTGACTCATTTAAAGTCGCAAAGTTGAAAAACTTTAAATACTTACATAGTTGTCCCGCGCCGACCAGCCCGGGTAGAGCTGCATGTGGAGCTGCCGCTCCTTGCGGGCCAGCTCGTAGTACTTTGCCTGCTCTTCCCTGGACAGAGCATGCCACTGTGTGGGGGGAGGGGTCACCCATGTCATTATTCAAACATGCACGAAGCATGTTGGCGATGGCAACGGCCAGACGGATGAGGGGCCACCCACCCTGCGGCCCAGGATCTGGTTGATGGCGGCGCTCTCCTTCAGCGTACACTCGGCCACCACCTTGGCCCGCATCTCCTTCATGTACAGCATGAAGGCGTTCAGTGGCTTCTTGATGTGAGGCTGCTTCTTCTTCTCCTCCTCCTTTTTGGAGTCCTGATGTTTCCTGTGGGAGGAAGGAGGCAGGTCCAGAGTGCCGTCAGATGGTGCCGGCCCCGCCCTCTCTGGGGGCCACTTAAATCTCTTGGGGTCACTCAGGTTCACGCCTGAGCCGGGTCTGAACTGGTAAACTTCTTGAATGATTTTACGAGACTCTCGCTCTCCACACAGTAGCACTGCCTGCATGGAACTTACGAGCTGTTGAGGCCCCCGATGTCACTGTGTGAGGACTCCTGCTTGACGTTGGGTGTGACGATGGCTGGGTGTGGAATGCCCGTGGTGTGCAGGCTGTGGTGGGGGGGCACCATGTGGGGCGGGAACCTAGAGGTCAGAAAGCCAAGTCAGAGCCAGAGTCTGAGTCTGAGTCAGGGTTAGGGTCAGAGACAGTGCGGGAAGGAGAAGAAGGAGAGAGACGGAAATGCACAGCTGCTCGGTGCAGCCTGGGCTATGATACCAGCAGGCCCCTGCAGGGGGTGCTCTCACTGCCTGTAGGTTCTTAGTCTAACTTAATCCCATTCACACTCTCTACACAGAACCTCTCCCAGTCACAACGGCCCATTGGTCTCAGCGGCACTGGAAGGATCCAGCAGGACCCCAGGGGGCCGCACCCCCCAACCCCGCCACCCCCCTGCAGAGGGGCAGAAACCCCGCTAATCTTATTCTAAATAGATAGGGAGGCATGAATAATGAATCAGTTCCTGTTCAAACAGAGCAGCCGTGCAGCCTGTGGGAAGCTCCCAGGGATGAGGGGATTAACCGTGAAAGGCTCGGGTGCCGTGACACCGAGTGGCAGGTGCCAGGCAGGAATGGGGGCCCCGGATGAGGAGCGGAGGCCCCGGATGAGGAGCAGGGGTTCCATATGAGGAGCAGGGACAGGCGGCAAAGTGTGTATGTGTGTGTGAGAGCCAGTGTCACTTACTTCAATGCCGTGTGCCTATGAGGGAGGGTGCAGCAATGTATGCCTGCATGCAGTAACCATACAGTGACCAAAGTGCACACGCGTGTGCGTGTGTGTGTGTGTGTGTGTGTGTGTGAGGTAGCCTGTCAGGAAGAGCAGATGATGTACAAAAAAAGGGAGACGGGGAAAAAAGCCCTTTTTTCCCTTTAAACAGCTCATTATCCAGCGAAGTGTGTCTGCTTGGCCCTGAAGCCAGAAGATAATGATGATCCCGAACTTGCGAGGAGCAGCGAGTTTGAGCTGGGAGGGGCCCCCCGGGGCCGCTGTGGCCCCTCCCCCACACTGGCACGGCTGACATGTTTCTGTTAATGCTCTGCTCCTCCGTCTCCTGCCTCTGCATCCAGTCACCCCCCTCAGAGCCACCCTGGTCCTCTGTCATTATCCCTTACTCTGTACCCCCCCCCCCCCCACCC